TAACTCCAAATGTGTGTTTTAAAAACTGGATGTATAAATAGACATGTTTATGTGTTAAATGCATAGGAAAGATTCATAGAAGGAATCATACCAGGTAACCTGACGTGTCTACATGTCTACAACAGGGAATAAGAGAAGAGTTGGGGATGAAAGGACTTTTTTTCTCTATACATTTCTGAATTATTTATATGGAGAATGATGTATGTGTTTTAACTTAATTTTTTTTAGATGTCACTCTGGTTGCGCTGTGCAGGGTGAGGTGTAGAGATGCCTGCGATTCTCAAGCAGAAAATTGCTTGAAACACCAAGCTTCACTGTATGAGCTCTGAGATGATCTTCTAATTAGAAAGGATCTGATCGTGCCGATCTTGTGCTTGGTGGATTGTGGATGACTTGTTCTTATAATCAAGGTACCTTCAGTTGTTCAGGCAGAAGAGGCTGAGATTCCAAACTGCGGGAATGAGGATTGGAAAGAACATGAAAAGAGTTTTATGAGAGAAAGTAGTTGGATTTCGTAAACATGTGAGTGGGCAGAGTAGAGTGGAAGATAGAACTGAGATGGGGGACACTGGAAGAACAGATTTCAGGGGAGAGGATAATGACCTAAGTTTACTATGCTGAGGACCTGTGGGACGTCCTCATGGAGCTATCTAGCGGATGGTTTGAAAGAACAGTTTGCTGCTCTGAACGTCATTATTTGGGTGCTGTTTTCAGTCATGATTGTTGATAATTGAGACGACCAAAGGCAGAGTGTCTAGACAGAAGAAGCTTCAAGTTGGAACCCAGGGACAGGAACTTGCAAGGAGCTGCAAGCACTCCCTGAAGCGACTGCAGTGCAGCGCTGGGGGTTGTAGCCTGCGTTCCAGAGGGGAGATGATGTGCTGGTCAGCAGTGTGACTCCACTGAAACATCAGATTTTAGTGTTAGGGACTTTGACAAGAATGGGCTGTGGTGGAGAGCCCTCTAGTGGAAGGGAGCATGGCGTTGGAGGAAGGAGCCTGAGCAGCTGAAGCTCAGAAAAGAATGTGAATGTCACTGGCAGAAAAGCTTTCAGTCCTTTGATTACAATGTGATTACTACTCGCATATAGAGAAGAAATTAGAGGTTAGTTTTAGTATGTCCATTTATGAAGGTTCTATGGAATTTTTCCTCTGCCCCATGAAAGAAAGATAATAAAGAGATTTTGAGGAGCTAGAATTTACGGAGAAAAACTTTTTTCCATCCATCAGGAAGAACAGGAGCAATGGGGGAATTTTGTCCTAGAGAAGTACAAAAACTGGCAGCACAGAGGAGCTGCAAGGGCTTTTGGCACCTTGCACAGCCAAGTTCCAAGCCTTGGGATAGCCTGGAGGATGAGTTCAAGCAACCTGCCCTGTCAGCAAACTGGTAATGGAAAAAAGTAATGATAAAAATGTGTCATTCTCTTACTTTTTACATCTGGAAAACTACCTGCTTCATAACTTTTTTTCTATGTTAACTATATGAAAACTGAGATCAAATCTGTATGGAAGGGCCTCCCCGGTGGTGCAGCGGGTTGAACGCAGCGCTGTGAAGCTGTCCGCAGCCTCTGCAGCACAGGTTCAATTCCCGGCCGGCCAGGGAGATTCCCACATGGCGCGGCAGACCTCTCCTGTCTCGCCCGCTGCTCCCGTCGGCAGTGTCTTCGGTCCGTCTGCCTGTTCTGCTCCGTGCTCTGTCTCTGGTGAATTCTCTTACCCTCTTGCACCTCTGGCCTGTACCCCAGTGCTTGTATAAATAAATAAATCTTGGGGGAAAAAAAAATCTGTATGGAAGAAGTTCTTTGCTTGTTTTTTCCTCACAAAAAAGACTGAATTGGAGGATATTCTTTATTAACTTTACTCCCTTTATTTTTTTTAATTAATAGCTATGGTGGAGCAATCCATAAAATATATGTGAACATTGCTTACCTCAAAAAGTGGGATTAGGGAGAGAAAGCTGTAATTAACCGTGCACCTCTCTGTTGTTTGACTTAATTACAATGTTTATAAGACAACCAATAAAGGATGTAGTATTTATGGAGAAAGACTAAAAATAAGATAAATTAATGCATGTTTGTAGAAAGAAAAGAATCTAGAGTGAACAGTGTAGGAAGAGTGCCACTCTGAATTTTACTTTACAAAAAAGAACATAATTAAGAATATATCTTTATTCCTAAAACTGTATACTTTCTCGTTTGTATGTGGGTGTCTTCCCATATTGATACATATTCATTTGCTTTATTTTTTAAAACACTACATAATTTTGAACTTTTTGGGGGAAAAAAACTATTGCAATATAACATAAAAACAAAAAAGTATCCAGCATAATGGCTTTTACAGAGTGAAGACACATGTAATCGCTTACCTGGATCAAGATCAAGATCAATGCTTGTCACCCCACACGCCTTCCTCATAGTACCTCCCGGCAATTAATTTCTCCCTCCTAACCATAAGTTGCCACTATTCTGATTGCCGCTGGCATAGGTGAGTTGTGTCTGTTATTTTTACTTTATGTAATTGATTCATATAGTTGTATGTGACTTTTGTGTGTGAGCCTGACTTTTATAGACCAACATTACTTTGTGAGATTTACCACACAGTTGCATATGGCAGCAGTTACCCCTTTTCTGTTTGGTATCATAGTCTACAATAGAATGCTCATCACCACTGTTTTCGCATTCTCTTGTTGATGGGTTACACCGCCTGTCGAGTTGCTTCAAATTGGGATCTACCAGGGATAATAATGCTCAGATAGCCTTCTTGTGCATGTCCTTTGCACAGAGTTGTGTTGCGCACATGCTCGTGTCTGTGGGCTACATTCCCAGGGAAGAAACTTCCAGGTGATGTGGTATTCATGTACTCAGCATTGGTGGTCCTGCCCATTTCACATAGTAGCCCTGAGTGTTCCATCTCCTCCAGCACTTGGTGGTGTTGGCTTTTCATTTGTTTTGTTTGCATTATTTTGTTGTTGTTTGTTTTTGAGGACTGTTTTAAAACATTGATTTTAAAAGGCTACCTATTGTCTTATCATGTGAATATGCTATAATTAACCTCCTTTGCATGGGCTTTACCCTTCACTGCCACTGCAGCACAGGTGGAACCTGGAACTGTTAGTATCTACTGGGCTCCGTGGCTTCTTCTATGTGTGATCTGACCGTGTCAGGGAAAACTAGTACTGAAAGGAATAGAACCAATACATTCCTTTTTCTTTTAGAGAAGTTTTTGTTAGATTTTTTTTTTTTTTTTTTTTTTTTTTTTTGGCATAGAAGAACTGGGGTGTAGGCCAGAGGTGCAGGGCATTTGGGGTTGAGGATTCACCAGAGACAGAATGGGGAGCAGAAGAGGTGGCTCTACTGAAATAGACTGCTGAAGGGAGCAATGGGCGAGACAGGAGAGGTCTGCTGCGCCATATGTGGGTTAGCTCCCTGGCCGGGGTCAAACTTGGGCTGTAGCCGTGATGGGCCACTAAGGAGGCCCATATTCTTTTTTTTCTTAACAGATTTTCCTCAAATTCCCTCTTGTTTTAAATGGTATGGTCAAATCTAAAATCATTTTGTTGATAGGAAAATTGATTCTGATTTCATGGTAAATGGTTATTTTCTTCAGTCTTGTTTAAATGTAGAGTTAAAAAATAGCATAGTGTCAGACACTAGACTTTTGTTGAAAGTATTGCTAAACAGAGACAATTTAATTATCCAGAATAATTTGCATTCCTTTAAAATAAGCAGACAGTGCTAGCTGCCAGCACCTGCATCCCATAGATCTTCAACCCATTGGAAAACTGCTGTGTGAATTACTTCTGAATACAGTCACTTAGGTTTTGGGAAATTCTGAATTTCATCCATTTAAAAGTAAAAGTCTTTCCAGTCAGAATCTTGCTTCACAGCCCAACTGCCTTTCTTTCAATACTTCCTCCTCCATTTCCTTACATTTCCTTTTGACATAGATTTTTAAAGTGTGTGAAACTCTAAGGACTCCATTTTCATGAGTTAATGTTGTCCCCAGACCTCCTATTTCTCATATTGGGGTGTGGTACTGAAACCCGGTCTTCCTGTTGTGCTTCACAAAGGTGTCGGTGCAGGTGGTATTCAGTCCTAGCCTGTTACTTACTGTAAGTAGCTCCTTGGGAGAGTTTCAATGAGGTTAACCCACTCTAGTAGCCAAATGGCCTTTTGGGAAGTGCCTTATGGTGGGTGCATATGACAATTTCATCGTTCTTACTATTCTTTGCTTTTGCTAATTGTATGTTGAATTATTCATCTTTCAAAAAACTATAATGACCAGAAGGAGCATGTGATTCTCATACTAGTTTTAGACCTGCATTTTTCACTCGTTCATGTTGTGGTTCTTCACTTTTTTAATTAATTGGTATCGAGAACTTCTGACTGATAGCTGAACACTACTGCTTTAAACTCTGTTCAATTTTTAGGTAAGTCTGTATTGGAAAAACATCTATCTCTTGAGATTTCTTGAAGTCATTTTGCAGCATAACTCTAAAAGTCTTTCACGTCTTAGTTATCTGTGCTAATGGTAACGAGTCCAAAAATGCATAAATGAATTAACAATCCAGAAACCTTATTGAAAACAGTATTTTCAATGACCTTTTCCAAATCTCTGAATCAGTTTCATCAGTAAGTAGCAAAATATATTGGGTTGATTGTTTTTCTTCTCAATATATGTATGGAGGTGTGGTGGTGAAACACAAAATTAATCAAATTCTGACAAATAACAGTTACTTGGAAATCTCTTCATTTATCTCATGTTCCGAGGTTAATCTTAGAGACCACTGTCAAGTCTTGGTTAATAGATCGTTGCTGAGAGTATCCTAGCCAGTGCAGTCAGTCTTTGCAGAGAAGTCTGATATGGAAGAGTTTGCTCAAGTTACAGATCCTTACAGAGGACACAGAACAAAGCATTCCGTCCCTCAGACCCAACAGGAAGAGCCCTCACTAACCTCCCTGTGATTTCAGTACCCCCAACAGTTACGTCTTTTTCCACTAGGTATCAGCCAGAGCCGGATCTCTCACTGGCTGTTGCAGCAGGGATCAGACCTGAGTGAGCAGAAGAAAAGGGCATTTTATCGATGGTATCAACTTGAGAAGACAAACCCGGGTAAATATCATTTCCTTTTTTTCATTGCATCTGAAATAAGACATATGTAGTTAATAACTGTATTGAATCCATGTGCTGACCACGTTCCTAAGGTAGTTTCATATTTACTGTTAAAGAGCACTATTAGCTGTAAAACATAAGCCCCGACTGTTAACACTTTTCAGTTTAGTGTCTAATATTAGCCAGTCATGTTCCTTCTTCCTCCAAGGTGCTCTTATGTTTCTGGGTTGTATCATCATTCTAAGTGTATTTTGAAAGAAGGGTTATGCTTGTCAGTGACTGGTTTTCCTGTCCTCAACTATAGGCATACATGAAGATTCCATATCTAGTCTTTTTTGTAAATCTTATTTTAGCCAGTAATACAAAGTTAATGTTCTTATTTAGTGCATGTTCTGCCATATCCAGTGATCTCTGCCAATGATTTTCTGTTTCTGAATCTGTTTACCTGAGTGATGCATGTGTTTTTGGACTTCAGGGTCTAGCTACTCCGATGACTTCCGGGAGCAGCAGTTGGTCGGAAGGTAGAATGAAAACTTAAGGAAAAGATCAGAAACTTCTGTGTCTAGATCTGCCAGGAACAGGCAAGATCTGCTGCAGGATGCCTGCAATAAGGGGTCATAAAGTGAAATGTGAAGTTGTGTGACGGACTGTCTCAGTCTACATGTTGCGTGGGCCAGTGGCTGTGAGCCTGGCCTCAGATTTAACCTTATGACCCGCGCCTCCATCTGTAATGCTACAGCCCTGACGCCTGTGCTGATAGGCGAAGGCATTCGTTGGAATATTGCATATTGAAAATGCTTACCTAATAATATCATTGGACCAGAGGTGGAAATAAAAATGTTATGGAGACATATTTTTGTTGGGGGTTGGGGGAGGCAAGATTTTTTTCCATAGATCTTCATCTCAGTCTTAACAGGACAAAACAATAGATCATTGCAACCTCTCTGCAGTGATTTTTTTTTTTTTAATCTATCCCACCTCCCAGTTTCTATTTTGAAATGTTTATGACATACAGAAAAGTCAAAAGACCAGCACAGTGAACACCTGTTTACTGTCTTATTAGAAACATTAATTGTTAGCATTTTGCTTTATATAAAATAAGTGAATAAAAATTTCAAAAATTACATATGCTAGTGTTGATTAACTTATTCTTCTTATAGCCCCTGTATTTCTTATAAACTGGGGGTTAAGACAGAAGCAGGGTTAAATTCAAGTTAGACATTTTTGGCAAGAATGCTCATAGATTATTAAAAAAAAAAAAAAGAATGCTCATAGATTATTTAAGGGGGGTATGGACTGATGGCTGCAATTTAGGCTAACATTTATCAAAATAAAGTGAATTTATGGGTAGATAGGGAGATGCATAGATATGTGATAAGGTAAGTTTAGTAAAATGGTAGGTGGTATAAGTATGGATTTTCACTATAAAATTCTTTCGTTGTTGCTGTATGTTTGAAAATTTTCTCAATAAAACACTGGAGCAATATGTGTTGTTAGTAATGTTTCTCTCATGTAGTCACATCATGAAGCATCTAAAGTGAGCTTGTAATACTCTGCACATGCTAAGTTTGATCATTTGTTAAGTGTATTTGCAATTTGTAAATAATCTATAAGGCATCACTTAGCCACTGGTCGGAGATCCCTTCCCACAACCACCTTTCACCATGACTTTAGCATCCACTGATGGTGTTTGCCTGAATAGTTACTCCAGTGGGGAATGCGAAGTGTCGATAAAACTTCATCTAGCATTACTTCACCATTTATTGACAATCCTTCTGTAAAGAACTTCATTTTTAGATATTTTCCTGGTGATATCTAAATCTACAGCAGACTTCTCAAAACAATGGCTCTGTTATTGCTGCCTTTAGTTAAATGTTCTAAGGCAGCATGGTGCAGTAGAAATACAGTGAGGGTGACAGGTAGGATTTTTAATTTTCTAGTAACCACACTTTTTAAAAAGTGGAAAGAAAGAGCTAAAATTATTTTAATACTATATTTAATAAATATCACTCTGTGATTTAATCAGTATGCTTTACATGAGTGAGATACTTGTCTTTCCTTGTCTTTTGATACTGAGCAATTATCTTTCAAATGCTCGATGGCAACATGCAGCTGATGGTTATCATGGAACAACAGTCTAAGATAGATCATGCTTAAAGCAACACTTCAAACTCAGCCCTCAGCACTCTTTCCAAAAGATATCACTGCTCCATGATTCACAGCTCAGATCAGATGGAGAAAGACAAAAAAAATAGGCACATCAACTTAATAGAACTGCTTATGCTGATAATGAGATCAAATGGGTAAATAAGGAACTTTTGCCCACGGATTTAGTAAACTTCGGTCACATCTAACAATTGGCTATCAGGGGGACCACCAGAGGGATTGTCAGGATGTTCCAACACAAACAGGACAGAGCAATGAAACATTTGGGGCTAAACCTGGTCCCGTGTGAGGCAGTTTCAGCCTCCATAAGAGAAGAAATTTTTGTTTTTTGCATTTGACAGGTACAGCAGTGCCGGCCAGGTAACCTTATCACAGCCAGTGAGGCTATGTTCCCACCCTGGGACTCAGGGCTGAGTCCAGTCCTAGACAGGGAACTAGGGTACCAGGAAAATGAATTCATTCTGGGGCCCAGCAGCATCGTTGCAGCTGGAGTGATAGCTGCACGCCCCAGAGCACCGCACCACTGTTGGGGCCAAGGTTGGTGCTGGGGTGATGTAGCGTTCTCCCAGGGCTGTGTTTTAAAGACTGTTATTGTTTCATTTTTGTTTTTAATCTTCCTATATCATTTATCGTAGAACCAGAGCTAGGCTCACCCATCTTTGGGAAGTTCGAGGAAATGTAGAACTTTGGGAAGTTCGAGGAAATGTAGAAAGGAAAAATGGGAAGACTAACAGCATTCATGCTGTGGAGTAGGGCTGTTTTCTTAAGAGAAGAGTGCCTCTTTTTAATAACACGTTTCCCCTAGCTGTTATGTAATAAACCAAGATGATTGGTTTTCAATCAAGAGCATTATGCTGATTGTCCCCCTTTGGAGGGTCTTTCTGATTTTTATTTGAAAACCAAATCCACACTGAATTCTTTCTAATCATGTTTTCTACAGGACACATTTTAAAGTTGTCTGAAGAGAGTAAAGTCAAAATTGTCAACTGGTAGTTTTCTTTGCATCTATACTAATTAGATATTAGCAATTGAAATTTAATTTTTTATGGTTTTCTTTGCATTTTAACTTTAAGAGTTAATATGGCATTGAATTCTTTCTAAATAAATGTAGATAGACTATTTTGTTTATTTTTTTTTTTTGGCCTTAGCTAAAAAAATACATATATATATTTTAAATTCTTTGACATTTTGGAGCTAATATGTATTATCCTGGGCTAAAATTAACTAAAATTACATTCAACTGTTAATAGCTTATCTACTGTGTCAAGAATTGCTGATAGTACTTCAGAATTGCTTATAGTACGTCGTTGTGAGGTGATTGGAAACTACCTAAATGTCCCTCATTTGAGAACCGGTTAACTAAATCATGGTATATTTGTGTAATGGAATAGTAGGGGTGGTAAGCAGCTATATTTTTTAAAGATGGCTTTATATGAATTCAGTTTATATGTGATGTCATCAAACTTGCAAGTTAACAAAGTAAGGTACAAAACAATGCTGTTTACATAAGGGGAACACACGCACGTGCACTCGTGTGCACAGGGCCCGTCTCTGCAAGGCTGTGCAGGGAGCTGGAAAGCACTGCCCTGCAGAGGGGCCTGGAGAGCCAGGAGTACTGTGGCAGCAGGGAGACTATTAACTATGTGACGTTTGTGTTTTCCTAAGCTTTGTACCTGTATTGTGTATTTGAGAAATACATACACAGCATAATAAAAAGGAGGGAGGGACAGAGACCAAAAATAAAAGGAAATTAATCTGCCTTGTTAATAGCTTTTAGGATGTGAGAAACTGAAGAGGCTAAGATCACATTTTGCCTCTTTGGGAAGTTCGAGGAAATGTAGAACTGGGCAAGTAGATAGAAAATAGGAAAGCCAAAAATGAAAAAAGAAAGCAGTTATTTTTATTGACAAGTAGTTCTTTTATTTCACTTTTTTCCCTCTGTCTAGCAGTGTAAATGGTACCATCCATTTATGTACATTCTAAGGAGAAAATGCAAAATTAAGCAAAAGCACAACATGAAAAATTACTTTTTTCTCTAAATACAAGCATTTAGAAGACAAAAAATGCTTGTCCTCTCTGTGCCTCTATTCCTGACTCTCAGAGAAATTCCCTCTGTATTCCTTCATTGAAATTTTTCTCTTTTTCAATCTCTTTACTCTGAATTCATTTGGATATGGATTTTTTGTTTTTTTTTAGTTTCTCTTTGAGTGGATTCAGCAAGAGAAATAATATAGCGTGAGTATTAGTTTTTGGTATTGATAATCCTGTAGATACAGATATATTATAGTGCTCTAATAAACAAACCAATTATCAGAAATTCCCAGTGTTACCCAAAGCCTGCCAAGGCCTACAGATATAACAGTGATGGAAACTGATGAAATACATTTTATCTTGCCTTTTATGGAAACATTTACAAGAAAATACCTTTTTTTAAAAAAGAAGTACTGAATTCAGTGTAGTTGACATTAGAAGTAAGCTCAACAATCTTTCACCTAGTCTAATTTAAACATTACTGTAGCACACAGGTTTGCTGAGTTTCTTTTGGCTCGTGACACTGATTCTGCATATTTCTAAATTAAAGTTTGTCAAGAGGAATATGCGGCAAACACGGGAAGTAGATTTGGCGATCACAAGTAATGCCTCCTTCACTGTCGCAGTGTGGGCGCCTCAGGGAGTCTGTGTGTGACATGGGGAAGGACGGGAAACCACTTCTGGAAAGGCTGGTGTCTGTGGACCGAGTAGTAACAATGCTGCAGTCATCAGCAGATTGACAAATGCTCGGTAGCACTGAGAAATGACACTGTTAAGGAGGGAAATGATCCTGTATTCATAGAGAACAGTTGTGAAAATTTAAAAATCTATCCGCAGATTACAAAGTTGGTTTTTTTTCCTCACATGTTTACATGTGCTAGATGAATGTGTAAAATTTTATCTTATAGAAACCCAGCTATAATGCGGAAAGCAAAAATGTTTCTATAAGGAAGCTAGGTAACATGGTTTTCCTGTAAGGTTCTTTAGCCAACCCAGAATGCCTATCTTTTACGTTAAGGTTTAAAGTTTAAATATACATTGTTGCTGCCTTCTGATAGCTGTATTTTTCTGTCATGGTCAATAATTTTGAACCCATTCTTGGGTTGTTCCTTGCTCTCCAACATTTTCAACTGGAGCAAGATGAGATGAACAGAGGTTTCTAGAACAAATCTGTTGGAGTGTTTCCTGTGCTATTTTTAAAAACTGCTACATTGAAAAAGAGAAAGGAGCCAGAAGAAAAATCTGAAAAGTAATGCGATAATATTATGTTTCAAATTAAGTATGCTCACAAATTTGAAATTATTCAGTTTCCCCCTTCTGGGTATAAATTTCTTTGATAAATTTATTTGGGTATAAATTTATCTGGGTATAAATTTCTGGGTATAAATTTATTTCAAAGTAACCAGAACACAACTTACTTTTCCTCTTTCTTTTTACCTTCCTTCCTCCCTCTTTCATTCCCTTCATGACCAAATCTGGACAATATAGAATATTAGAAGGAAGCATAGCTATATTACCAATAATCCCCAGCACTAAGAGAGAACCATTATCCTCTATTGGCTTATTTCCTTCATCCTCACAATTAAGATTCTTTGTGCCTATTTCATTTGAGCCCATTTGTCATTCGCCTGAACAATGAAAGCATATCACAGTTACAGGTGAGGCCTCCTAGGTGGGCCTATTCCACTTCCTTCCCATGAAGCCCAAAACTACTCTTCTCTTACAGAGTCAGCTCTTGGATGAGAGGACCTGCTATTGCTGTACCCTGTACGTTTCTCCCTTATTTTGATGAGTCACGATAGTAGTTTGGCTCTGTTTTAGACCTCTTTTCCACGCCTGAGAACAAAATTTGTATAATCTAAGTAGGTAGATTCCAGGGCCCTTGTTACGCTGTAATTCCTACTTATATTTCACCTAATTGCCAAGTTATTTTTGTAAATGGTATCTTTTTTTTTTTTTTTTTTAGATTGACTTATTTATGCATACAAGAACTGGGGTATAGGCCAGAGGTGGGGGGGGGGTGAGAGGATTCACCAGAGACAGAGTGGGGAGCAGAACAGGCAGATTGACGAAATACACTGCTGAGGGGAACAGCCGATAAGACAGGAAACGTCTGCTGCCCATGTGGGTTATCTCCCTGGCCAGGGATCAAACTCATATCTTAGTGGCTGGCGATAGCTTGATAGCACTGTCTTTAACTCCTGCGCCATTAGGGAGGCCCTGGAATCTTCTCTCTTGAACTGCCTAATGAAGGTTTCAGTTTAGAGTTACATAGTGGGTAGATCAGGAATTTTGCAAGCCGGTAAGCTACTGAACTCGTCCTGTAGAGGATTAGAAAATCACTCTTTGGCCATGGGTCCCAGCTCCTCAGCTCTGCTGTTTCAGTGCTCCCACCCCCTATAAAACAACTGTAAGTAAATGGATGTGCGTGGCTTTGTTCCAGCAAAATTTTATTTACAAAAACAATAGAAAACAGGCCATAGCTTCCTGGCTCCAATCTTATTGTAAGCCAAGAATATCTAAAGCGTTATATGATGACATACTTACAACTTAAGAAAAATACTTTTCATTACATACAACAGGGAATCACCTATCAAGGGCTTGAACAAAAATGAAAACTATAAAAACATTTATGTGCGGCAAAACCTGTATTGCTCATATGAAAAAATTGACAGATTTCACTACATAAAAATTAAGATCACAAAGGACACCATTATAAAGATAAAGACAAATGGCAAATTGGTGAAAAACTTGCAATCCACATGACTAGCAACTGGTGATTGTACAAACCAGTAAGATGAATAACCCAGGAGAAAAATGGGGAAAAATAGAAATTCACAAGAAAATTGTAGTGGTCAGTAAACAGGAAAAGATGCTCATTCTTACTAATGGTGAAATCTCTTATTAAAGAAAAAATTTTGGCCACCAAACAGAAATGTGGCAAATTATTGATATACATAATATTCAATATGTTGGGGGAATGTGGGAAAAAAACAACAGAGATGATTTTGATGGCTTGTGTTAATTCTCTGTTCTTTAGTAAATTACCCTAAAATTTAGCAGTTAAAAACAACAAACACTTGTTATTTCACAATTTCTGTGATTCAGGAATCCAAGAGTGGCTTAGCTGGATCGTTCCAGCTCAAAGTTCTCATGAGGCTGCCGTCATTGGGACTGGCTGGACGGCCCACTTTCAAGCTCATGTACTTGACGAGTGCTGGCAGCCCCAGTTCTCACCTCCTGCTGGCCAGTGACATCAGGTCCTCACCTGATGTGTCTTGTGCCTGAGTGTGTGGCAGCTTGTCTTCCCAAGTGAGTTACCTAAGAGAGAGCAACCAAGACAGACACCAGTATCCTCTACATCTAATGCCATCTGCTGTTGGTCAGACTAACTGGGACAGTAGGGAGAGGCACTACATAGGGTGTGTATGGCAGGCAGGAGCAGGGGGTCCTTAGGAACCATGTTGGGTGCTGGCTACTACATGGGTGCACCGTCATGGGGCTTTGTTTCTCTCTGTCAGCTGGGTTCTCTAGTTCTCCACAGGAGGGCTGCTTAGCCAGAATGTCCAGAATAGTTTTTTCCCTCATATGTTTGGCATCTAGGATGGCAGGAGCACCTGGCTGACTGGGCATCTTTCACTCCATGTGGCCCTCCACATGGCTGGCTTCTTGGAACTTTGTGATCTTGGGTTCATCACAGTTCTCTGGGGCAGCTTGCTTCCCCCAGAACCAGCAGTCTAGGAGACCTAGTAAGAAGCTGCAAAGCTGCTTTTGACCTAGCCACAAACCTTTTCCATTTTCTGTTGTCAGAACATGCCACAGTACTAACTGAGATTAAAGGGCATGATTACCAGGAGGTGCGACTTAAAGTGAACGGCCATCTTTAGAACCTATCCCAAGAAGTTATGCTAGGGAGAGGTGATGCCAGCTTGTTTTTAAAGTGCTACCAGTGTAGGAATACAAATTGCTGTTATTGCGGATGCATTTTGAAGATAAAGTTGATAGGATTTGCAGTGGGCTTGATACAGTATGTGGGAGAAATAGAGAAGTCAGAGATGAATCAAACATTTTTGAGCTGAGCGATCTGAAGAACAGGAATGGCATTTACTCAGATGGGAAAGATTGCAGGACAGGAGGTTTGGAGTAGAAAATCAGGATAAGTTTAAAAAGCTGGTAACTGTATAGAGAATGCATATAAAGTGTAGCCGGTGCGAGGGGTCCACAATGGGTTGTGTGTAGTGAGGTGGAAACAATACCCGTGGTGTTAATCACCTTGTTCCAAGGTTCAATAAATGTGATTTCTGATAAGAGGAAAAAGTATTGTTGTATACATTGTCCCACGTAATTCTGACACGTTTTGACCTGTCTTACTTAGGCTCTATTAAGAGATTGGATTTTATTCCACAGGCAGAGGTGACTTCTTAGAAGTTTTGGATCAGCAGAGTGATATCACTGAGCTGTGGGAAGACACATTTTACAGTGTGAAAAAAGAACAGTGGGGGAGCCACAGCCTGAGCTCTGTCAGGGCGAACCATACTCTCGTTAAATGATAATTGTTTCTTTGAAATACTCCATGGCAGCCAGGGGCCTCATTGCTCTCCTTGTTTTAGTCAGAGCCTCCAGCCTGAAGTAAGCCAGGTAAAAGGAGGTTGGTAAATGGTCAGTGGACAAATACGTCATCACCAGTTCAAATTCTTTGACAAAAGGCTGGTCTGGATTAATAAAATATCTCAAGTATAGATTTGTTTTTAGTTTTTTTATCTTCAAGAAGTGACCAGAGTAGCATAGCATTGATAGCTGGTAGACCTGTGGAGCTCTGATTTAGTTAGTACATGTAAAGCAGATAAAATACATTTTTCTTTGATGCTATATTTGACTTTTTTTTTGGTGAGAGTATACAGCAATTAAGTTACTTTAAATTCCTTTCCTCTTAAAAACTTTCTTCAAAGGTTCCATTTTTTCAAAAACAAAGTTCCTGTGGTAATGACAGATTTTGAACATATAGGGTAAATTGTTCAAAAACCATAAAACTACCAAAAAGGAATTTCAAGAGGGTTTTTTCAGAGGAAGGCAAAGGTACTCCAGGGAAGTTATCACTGGGCCAAAGGCCATACCTACGTCCCTGTTCTGTGAAGAGGCAGATTTGGTGCTTTGTTTGGAAAAACAATGTAGATTTTTAAAATGGTATTTTAAAGTAATTAATGTACTGTCTAAGGAGGAGTATTTATCTCTTTGGATTTTCTGGGGGGATCACATAGTTTTTTTAAAAGTAAATATCAAATACATTGGACCTGCAAGTTTCAATGGAGAGGACAAAAGTTAATGATGTCATGATATATTTGTCATTTTGCTCTTAGTAAATTGCAAGATATTTGCTAAAAATATCTTGTTTATTTCAGGGGCTACACTAAGTATGAGACCAGCCCCCATTCCAATAGAGGACCCTGAGTGGAGACAAACGCCTCCCCCAGTCTCTGTCACATCTGGCACCTTCCGACTACGACGCGGAAGTCGATTTACCTGGAGAAAGGAGTGTCTGGCTGTCATGGAGAGGTACGTCCTCCTTCCTGTGGGCGATCTCCCAGACTGGATTTACGTAGTTTTCATTTCAAAGAAGTAACTTGGCATCTAGATTCTATCTCGAAGTATTCTCACCTATTGTAAAAGCTGTTTTATTCAAGTAAGTTGATCTCAGAACTGAGAGTTAGTAAAATTGGAGTTAGCATCTATCAGTGTAATTTAATAGCGTTCTCAGTAACGAGAAGAAAACATATTCATGAGTTCAGATCTTTGTAATGTATTTTGGAAAAACTCTTTGACGTTACTATGTTTCTTTCGAAATATTGAATAATTGTATAAGAGGCTACTAAGATTTAACTTCCATTGATAAGGTGTATGGCCGAAATGAGCTTCGTCCTACAGGTTAAAAGTACTTGTTTCTGACTTTGGTAATTTATCCTCTGACTCTAGAGCTAGGTCCTGACCCATAGCAGATACTCAGTACATTAGGCAAATTTGACCTTAGCATCCATTTTCCCGTCTGAAATAATATAAATTAATTGAATTAATTATGAAATGTTCAATATATTTAGTATAAATCATATAGAAGAATTATACCTTTGGTCTCCTACCTTTAAAAATGATGTTTATAAGATTTTGTTTTGATGCAGAGTTTTATGTGCATTAAGGTACTAATTTTCCATTACAGAAATACTTAATTCCTAATATTAAATGTGGAAGAAAAATATATATTTCTCAGAGTTCAAAACAATCGAATTTTTATATTGAGATTCCTCACTATATGAAGGAAAAGAATGGAGTGCAAGGTTTTAAATGAGGTTTAACTTCTAACCTGATACAGTATACATATTTACCTTGTGCTAGCTGCACATTTTTCCAGTTATCTTATGTGTGTCGTTGAGTGGGTTTTGACACTGACATCAGGAGGCCCGAAACCTGGTTTGGCTTTGCCGCTAACCTACTGGTAGCTTGGTTGGGATCAGACATTCAATAATTGCCTCATCTCAAAAATACGGTTTTTTCAATAGCCAATATTGAATTATATGTCACCTCAGGACTTTTGCCAACTCTCTTCCTGCCTGTTTTCCTGATTATTTCCCAGCTCATTAACATCACTACTTGAGAGATTTAAAATGCTGGCTTTCGGGCCCTGTGATCAAGTTGAAATGATAAGGTTTGCTCAAGGAGAAGGCTGGATCTAGTAGCCAGAATGAGACTAGCGGTTACCCAGGGATGTTATCGTCTATATTTTTCTTGCTCTCCTTTCGTAGTTGAGAGTAGGAGGCCACTCACCGAATGAGGAATCCTTATTCGTTCGAGCGGTGAATGTGAAAAAGTGAGACTACTATTCTGGAGACCTGACACGACAATCTGCTCTATTTTTCACATCTAAACATTTGATTCTTTAAAAACAATTTCAGAACTTACCACATAAGAGAAGAATAAAACTAATATCTAACTTAAATTACTTACAGTATTGTACAGTTTCCTCTGGAGAACCAAATAAGCTATTTATTGGTTGGTACAAGTGTTAATTGTACCAGGGCCTCAGCCATTTAATTTTTAAAGCAGATACCATATACATTTGTCAAATGATGTCGGTGTGGGGAAGGATTAATTTAAAAATTAATAACTTGTAATGACAGGTGATATGCCTAACGTAGTTTCAAAATTGAAGTGGAAAGGCCTTGGGATCCTTTCTCCCCGCAAGGCAACAGGAATGAGCCATAGAATCACTCTGATTAAATTTAGTTAAAAATATATTGAGGGCAGGATTTCGTGTGGAGGCACAACTGAGCCTGGGGAGTAGACACCATGAGCAAAGCTCAACCTCCCGAATTGAAAAAATTTATGGACAAAAAGGTATCATTGAAATTAAATGGTGGCAGACATGTCCAAGGAATACTACGGGCATTTGATCCCTTTATGAATCTTGTGATACATGAGTGTGTGGAGATGGCAACTAGTGGGCAACAGAACAATATTGGAATGGTGGTAATACGAGGAAATAGTATCATCATGTTAGAAGCCTTGGAACGAGTATAAGCAGTGGCTGTGTTCGCCAGAGAAATCAGTTGCTTCCCCATGTCTGCTTCCACAGCATCTTTTCACTATGACATAAAAATTGGGTTGTGTACATTTTCTTACTGAACTTTTTGTTAAATAAACTTTTGTAATAGTCAAAAAAAATATATTGAGGATATAATCTGTATATATAACATGTAACACTTCTGGTTACTCATAATTTTCAGTTTTAACCTTAATTTTATTTAATATGTGTATTTATCTAATCCAGGAATTTAGTTATCTTTGGGTTTTTTATTTTATTATCTTTTTTATCTTTAGTTTTCTTATATCTTACCTGGTACAGCTAGTAAGAATGGATGTGGCTTATTCCAAGTTACAAAAACCCAAAAAAGTCTTTCAAAGTAAGTAATAGCACTACAGAAGGTGACAGCATGATTTTCATTCTGTGAAAGTAGACTTTTCAAAGATGAAATATAAAATTCCCCAGCCTTAGAGTATGCGTGATATATTTTTCTAGAGTGAATGAATGAATAAATATCTCTGTAGACTGTAAAACCAGCAGAGTATTTAGCCTCACTCAAATATATCAGTGTCAGTCAAAAATTACTCCGTTCGTCACATCGCACACCAAGATAACTTGAAAATGAATAAAAAAGTAAACCCATATAAATAATATAAGAAAACATGGGGAATGCCTCCATATCCTGAAAATAGGGAAAATATTTCCTGTGATGCAAAATAAGGGAAAGTATTGATTAAGTTTGATTACATGAATTAAAAGAAAAAATGGGGGAGGAAAACAAATGAACAAAACGAGCCCCTCCCTCCAACTCTATAGCACCATTCATCTGTTTTCTCTCCATCTAGATTCACCTATTCTGGACATTTCATATAAAAGGAATCATATAATATGTGCCTTTTTTTGCAATTCATTTCTTTCATGTTTTCAAGTTCAATCCTTTTTACTGTGCCGTATATTGATATTCATTCTTTAACTGCCAAATCGCTTTTATTTATTGTTCTATTTATTCACACGTCAGTTGGTGGACATTTGGGGTTGTTTCTGCTTTTTGGCTGTTATGAATGGTGCTGCTATGAAAGAAACTTGTATCCTAGTAGAACTGCTGGGTCGTGCGGTGACTCTTCTGTTCCTTTTGAAGAACTGTCAGACAGGTGTAACACAGCTGCGCTGTCCACCCTCCACCTAGAGCCGTGCAAGAATTCTGGTGTCTCCACAGCACTTGCTGTCATCTGTCTTTTGGGTCACAGCCATCCCATTGGGCTCCCTCCCGCTGAAGTGTTGATGTGTGTTTCCCTGACTGTTGATGTGGGGCATCTTTTCATGTACTTGTAACTTCTTTGAAGAAATGTCTATTCAGATCCCTTGTCCATCTGAAGAATGGGGTGGTCTTTTTATATTGAATTGAAAAGGTACAAATGTGTGAGGGCACAAATCCCTGAATCAGTACATGGTTTGTAAATATGTTCTCCCATTCTGTGAGTGGTCCTTTTACATTCCTGATGGTGATCTTTGGAGCATACAAGTTTTTAATTTTGGTGAAGTTTGTTTTTGTTCTGTTTTTTGTGCCTTTAGAGTTAGAGCTAAGAAGGTTTTGCCTAAATTAGTTTCCAAAATTTATTCCTGTATTTTTTCCTAAGAGTTTCATACTTAATTTTTGCAAATGGTAAGAGATAGGGGTTCAACATCATTCTTCACTTGTGGATATCCACTTGTCCCAGAACTGTCAAAAAAAAAAAAATGATTCTTTCCCTACTGATTAGTCTTGCCACCCTTATCAAAAATCAGTTGACTGCAAATGTGAGTGTGCACTTCTGAATTCTCAGTTCTGTTTCATAGGTCTGTATGGCTGTTCATGCTTCACCACACTGTCATGACTACTATGGTTGTAAATATCAAAATTGGGAAGTGTGAGTTTTCTGCTTTGTTCTTATTTTTCAAGCTTATTTTAGTGATTCTGGGTTGCTTGCATTTTTATATGAATTTTAGGGTTAGTTTGTCAGTTTTTTCAAAGAAGTCAGGTATAATTTTGATAGAAAAGTACTGTAGTCTTGAATTTGAATTATAAGTAATAAATGTAATTCATATTCTATTTTCTCTTGAAAAAACAAAAAGGGGAGTTCTCCCAACTCTTATCTCCTGAAAAGGACATTATGCAACTTCATATATATATAGATATATAGAGATACAGAGATATATATTCACACACACACACACACACACACACACACAGTATCAACCAAGTAGACATTAACATGCCTGGGGCCCACATTGTAATAAGTACCAGCACTCCTGCTGAAAGGAACCATTGGAGCAATGTCTGATTCCAGGACTGGGGCAGAAGGCATGCCCAATAAAACTGGGCATCTTTTTAAGCAAAGGGCCATTGCAGGTAAATGGGTGATATTGAAAGTACGCGGGAGCTAACTTGAGGCTCCCATATCCAAAGAAGGGGGGAACCATTGGACATGAGTCATAATGCTGGTTGTGATAGATTGGTTACAGCACGTCTCGCATGCCAGAACCCATGTGTGACAGTGATGCAGCTTGAGAACATGTCGGTCACATCTGAGCTAGAGAACAAACTTAATAACTTGGAAAATAATAAAAGAACTGAGCATTTGACCTGCTTTTCACATACAAACTTTATTTCCAGTTAACGAAAAAGTTTTCCTCTGATGGATTCCAGCTAATAAATGAAAAGGGAATAATATAATTAGAATATAATCATTTTGCAAAATCCTAGTGAAATAATAGATCTCACAATGATCATTAATAGCTACTAACATGCCAGAAAGACTGACAACCAGAGATTATGTACCTCTTAAAGGTCGCACGCACCACCCCCTCAGAATATTCTTTCCAATAAAATTGAAGCAGAACTAAGTGTCTAGATCTAACGTTGATTTTTATAGGAAAATGGAACAAAGTTCTGTTAGGCATACCATGGGATTTCAGGCCAACATAATCTGTGATGTGAGAAATTCTAAAGGACAATAACTCACTGTTTTAAAGAAAATCTATTAGCCAGTTGAGTGAAAAAGATAATCATTCTTGCTTCTGTTACAGCATTCCTTGTAAGTAAATGGAACTCTATATTAAAGTACTTATATTTTAGAACTGTGTTTTGAAATGTATAATAATATGATGAAATGATACAATGTGTGGGATTTACTTCAGAATGGCACAAAGCAGAAAGGCCAGTCAGGAGTTTGGATGAAGCGAGTGGGGCTAGGACAGAACATTGATGTTGGCAGCTCGGTGGTTTTCCCTGGGGCTTTAGGATGCAGTTTTCTCTTATTTTGTGCACAAATTGTATGCGTGTCCAAGGAGGGTCAGAATTTTGGGTCAGAAGCAGATGGAACTATGAGAAATGAAGTCTTTATGTATCACAGAAACTCAAGTATGCAGTATTATCTGGCAATAATAATGACAGTAAATGTTTTCGTGTCACTGCAGTGGGCCTTGATGAGAGCATGGTTAGCAGACATAGTTCCCAACAGTCAGGTTGGGGAGACAGATATGAATCAAATAATCACACAACTGAAGGCAAAATTGCCTCTGTAATACCTGTATGAAAGGAAAGGTATTTACGATAGTGGGTGTGCTGAGCGTCTAATTAGGTTAAAAACAGAGAAAGAGCTACGGTCACCAAGAACTGCGCTGGTACTGCGGTGTGCCTTTTTCAGTCTAAGTTACTTTACATTAAAGGTTTAAATTCAATTCCTCAGTCACACTAGCCACATCTCAAGAGCCCAATATGTATGTGTGGTGACTGACCGTGGCAATATTTCCCCTCTCCTTTTGACCTAACTGACTTTTACTCACTGTATTCTGTGCTTCTACAGTATTCTGTTGTCACAGCTAGGTACTCGTACAGTTTATTCCCATATCTAGTTAACTCCTTTTCCACAAACCTGGGGGCAGCAGCTGCCTATCAGCAATTACAGAATTAAGGAATAAATACTATTATGAAGGTGGACAACTTAGTTTACAAGAGGAGGGATAAAGAGAGGCCAGCGGAAGGCTGTTAGAGTCATCTGTCCATGAGTGGGGAGGACAGAGACTATAGTGTTTAGAGCAAAGAGTGAGAAGATCATAGGCATCAAGAGAAATTTTGAAGAAAAACTCAGGTAATGTAGTCACAGAGAACACAGGTGACAGAGCAGGAAGTGTGATGCTCAGGGCCCGTTCACCCGCGAGACAGGTCTGAGCCGCTGGAGACAGTGTGACTTTAGGCAAATTGTTCAGCATCTCTGAACCCTCCCTGCAATGTTTATAAAGAGTTACGTATTTCGAGGTAGTGAAAAGGGACGGGCTTCAGAGGCATACAGATTTGCAGTTTAGTCCCAGCTTCGCCTTGCGTTCATCTTTGGAGATTTGGGTTTTCAGTATAATGGGGATGGTTATTATGAGAAGAGTGACGAGCATTCTGTGAGGTGATGGATGTAAAGCACATAAGAGGAATGGCTTCCTCAGAGCAAGTGTTAAGCAAATGTTCTGTTCTCATCGACTTTCCTTCCAGTTAGAGCTTTGATTGTGATGTCACCTCAGGATTTTTCACTGGTTGCAGAAATGGAGATTTGGGAGTCATCCATATTTTAGGTATGCTTCTGCATTTTTGCTTATACTCTTTCTGCATTTTTGAAGCTCAGTACAGCTAGGGAAACACGTGAAGCCCTGCTGCCGGCTCTCATTTTGAATTCATGTCCATGAGCCTTAGGTGGGTCTTTCATTCTGCCAGACGGTCGTTCTCAAGACCTTCCTGGTTCATTCTTTCTATTATTTCACACGTTGTTCTCTCTGCACATGCCCCACCCTCATTCTCACGATGGCCTTGCTTTTTGTTTAAATGAGGAAAGTACAGTACTCAGAGGAGAGCCCGTCGGCTGCCCTGCTAGCAGAGAACACACATGCTCTGTTTCTGCTTCTCACCATCCACAGAGCTCTTCCCCAGCGCACCTCGGCGCAGCTGCCAGTGGGTTTGTGGGTGTCGAGGTGGGTACATGGGTCTTTTCTTTCTTGTCCTTTTCACCTTCTCTGGCCCCATTGCATTGTCTACAATTGATTTTAAAACATCCAATTCTAGGGACAGTAATTTATGCTCCACATTTCATCCTCATTGCCGTCCTGCTTTCTCCTTAGAA